AACTACTCCTACATAATCTGCATGTGTATGCTTCCAATGTTAATTCATTGCCTCTTCTAAATAATACTCCCGTTCTTGGAATTCGATGTGCTACTTGAAGATGTACTTCTTTTAGGCTGTGCATAAATCGACTCACTACTCCTACAACATAGGTTGCCTGTTTTGGTATGAAAAAGATAGATTAGTTTGCCAACTAATCTCTAATAGGATTCTCTATCCACCACCGCATTTTCAAGAGCTTCACAAAGCTTGTTATTTTGTTCAATGGGTGTCTCCACTAGTTTACACCCTAGTTTCCCAGTCTCATTTAATAAATCCAACACATACTTCCGTTGGGATATAAAGATCCCATGTTGAGAGTCAACCACTTCAATGTGGAGGAAGTATTTTAACCTGTTGAGTTCTTTGACCTCAACCTCTTGCAATAAACACTTTTTCAACGCCTCCATTCCTTGCAAGTCATCTCATATTACTATTATATCATCCTCATAGACTAATAGAGCTATAACTCTCCCTAAAGCAAAATGTTTAACAAATAATATGTGATCACCCTGACTTTGTTTGTAACCCAAAGCTTTCATTACTCTAGCAAACCTGCCAAACCAAGCCCTGCAAGATTGTTTGAAGCCATAAGTGCCTTTTTTAATTTACACACCTTATGCTTTTCTGATTCATATCCTGGAGGAACCTCCATAGAGATTCCTTCATCAAGACCACCACGTAAAAAGGCATTCTTTACGTCAAATTGTTACAAACTCCAACCACGATTAACTGCTAAAGATGATAGGATTCGTACAATATTTATTTTTGCAATAGAAGCAAATGTTTCAAGATAATCTATACCATAGGTTTGAGTATACCCCTTGGCTACTAACCTTGCCTTATATCGTTCAAGTGATCCGTCTGCCTTGTATTTCACAGTAAAGACCCATTTACATCCCACTAGCTTCTTTCCTTGAGACAATTCCACTAAGTTCCATGTTTTGTTCTTCTCGAGTGCATCCATTTCAACCTTCATTGCTTCCTTCCACTCTTTACTTCCCAATGCTTCAGAGATAGTTTTTGGGATAGTAATAGCGTTGAGGTGGATAAGAAAACTTTTATGTCCACTAAATAGCTTATTCATGGGACACAAAGTGAGACAACGGATGTACGGGCTACTAAGTACACTTCCTAAGACCTTTTCTAATCGCAATAGGGAGATCAACATCAATAAGTGGCACATTACTTGCATAATCTTCAGAATTAGGAGTTACCTCAACATTATCAGTACCAGAGTTTGGTTCTGAATCAAGAACCTGCATTGGTTGAACAAGTGGTTCTTTCCTCCTTGAATATACCTGCAATGGGCGAATAGCACTATGAATTTGTTTATGTTTTTTCGCTGGGCTCGGAATACTTAGGTCTAACTCATCCGGTAAAGGAATGGAGATAGATGACGGTGGATTTTGATGTTGTGAGGCGAAGGATGAAAGATCAAGTAAAAACAAATCTATGTCCTTATCTTGCATGAATGATGTCTCCCCCTGAAGAAAAGGATACATCTACAGAGACAGAGAATCGTTTTGTTGGAGGATGATAACACTTATGCCCTTTCTATGTAGAAGAATATCCAACAAAAACGCGCTTAAGAGCCCTTGGACAAGTTTCCCACGGTTATTTGAATGAATATGAACAAATGAGACACACCCAAAGACCCTAGGAACCAGGTGATTTGTTGTTTTTAAGTCACGGAAAAATTATGAAAATAGTTCCATGGGGCTGTTATAATCAAGAACTCGAGTGGGTAATCGATTAATCAGATGTGTAGCGGTTAAGACAACTTCTCCCCAATAATTTTTTGGAACATTTTTTTGGAAAAAAAATGCTCGTGTAACAGTTAGAAGATGGCCATTTTTCCGCTTTGCCTCACCATTTTGTTGTGGTGTGTTGACACACGAAGACTCATGGATGACTCCTTTTTCTTCAAAGAATGGTGACAACACTTGATTAAAATAATCCCTAGCATTATCAGACCGAACTCTTTTTATCTCAACCCAAAATTGGTTTTTCACCATTTAGAAAAAAATTTCAAAGGTTGAACTGATATCTGATTTTTGTTTTAAGAGAAAAGCCCATGATACACGAGTACAATCGTTAATAAATGAGACAAACCAGCGAGCCCCAGAAATATTATGAACTGTAGAAGGTCCCCAAATATCACTGTGAATTAGAGTAAAAGGTATGGAAGCTCTCGTATTGCTTGTTTGAAAGGAAACATGCTTATGTTTTGCAAGTTCACAAACATCACAATGAAATATACCTAGATCAACTCCTTTAAACAAACCAGGAAACATTACTTTAAGAATATTGAAAGGAGGATGACCAAGACGAAGATGATACAACCATATTTTATGTTTATTGGAAAGAGAAGACTCAGAAAGCAGAGACCGTGGATAGTATCCTTAGTGCTATTTTGCCCATCGAGTTCTTCAAGAAAGTAGAGCCCATTCCTCTCCCTAGCAAGTCCAATCATCATCCCCATGCTCTGGTCCTGAAATTTACAAAGTGCAGAAGAAAATGTCACCATACAATTCAAATCCTTTGTAAGCTTGTGAATTGAAACTAGATTGGTAGGCAATTTCGGAACATGCAGTACGTTTTTTAAAACAAAGTTCTGATTTATAACTAAATCTCCTCGACCAGCAACTGTAACCAGTGTTCCATCAGCAGTAGTAATTTTCTTACTACTAGGACAAGGATTGTAAGAGACAAACCCATGACAAGATTGGGTCTCATATGATCCACTACCCAAGTCCTTTTTGAGGTTGACACATTAAGTGCATATGGTTGAGAATTACCTGAAAGAGCCAAGAGCCAAGGACCAAGTACCTGCACCACCCATAGGTTTCTTTAATGTTCCCAAAAAGTAACTCAACTTCTCAATCTCATCTCTATTGAACTCGGATGCACCACCCGTAGGTTTCTTTTAATGTTCCCAAAAAGTATCTCAACTTCTCAATCTCTTCTCTATTGAACTCGGATTGCTCCTGAGAAAATTCTCCTTCTCCTTCTCCTTCTGATTGTGTCGAGGTCAAATGTGCTTGTCCTTGCCGCCCTCCTTGGTTACTTTTTGCAGTCCAAGAAGTATTTTTAGTATTTGAGGGCTTAACATGGAGTTTCCAGCACCTCTCCCTGCTATGTCGCAGCTTCTTACAGTAGGTACACCATAAAGAGTCTTTATTACCTGCTCTTGATCCTTCTGAAAGCCCATTATTCCCTCCTACTCCACTGGAATAGGCATTTGACTGCTGCTGGTCTGATTTCACAGATATGGGATTTGCAGCTTTTGTAACTAAGGCTGAACCATCTGCTGGTTGAGGCTCCATCATAAATCCTCTTCGTCCTTCTGCTTCATGAATTATGGCAATTGTTTCATTGAGTGAAGGAATTTCTCCCTTTCCCAATACTTGCACTTGGATAGGATCGAACTCAATGTTTGATCCGGCAAGAAAGGTGCAAATCCTCTCTTTTTCCATAAAACATTTAAGAAGGGTTGCATCATCGCTACACTTCATCTCAATACACTGATAATGGTCCAACTCCTGCCATAAGTTTTGTAAAATCTGGGCATATTCAGTGACCAAGCAGTTACCTTGTTTGGTAGATGAAATTTTGTCTTAATCTCATAGATTTGTGTAGCATCTCAGACTTTAGAATAGGTCTGCCTGCAGGCCTCCCAAATCTCCCTTGATGTTGTCAAAAACATGCAAGTATCGCTAACTTCTGGCATCATCGAATTCCATAACCAAGACATCGCCATCGAGTCTTCTTCATCCCACGCAGTGAACATCAGATCTTCTGGTTTTGGTCTCGTCCCAAGAAGATGACTGAGTTTGCCCTTCCCTTTCAAAAGGGTTCGAACAAATTGAGATCACTTAAAATAGTTTTGGCCATTAAGACGTAAACTAGGTTGAATATTCTACAATTCTCCGACAGAACTATTTGAAGTGGTGTTGTTTGCAGCCATTGAAGAGACTAAGAGCATGATTGTTTCGACGGACTGGATAAGGGGGATTGTAATCCATCGGACTATTAGTCCTGGGATACATTGTGCCCAGACTATTTGGTTGAACTGGATTTATATCCTATGTTTGTTTAGTCATGGGATTAGACGTCTGGATTGGACTATTTTTAATGAATCCAATGTTTGGTTGGACGGACTGAATAAGGATAAATGTTCAAAAGACTATTTTACCCTTGTAATTTATAATTTTTATTTAATATATAATTTTAAATTTGTAATCTATAATTTATAATTTATAAACACCACCTTCAAAACAAACACCACCTTATTGGATTCTAAAACGTCAGACATAGTTAAAATCGAAGGGAGAAAAGATTCATGGGTTCACGTGGGAATATTAGGTTATTAATGAACGGCAATTAAGGCCGTCGGCAAGAGTTTCAGGCAATGAAGGCCCGGAAAAAAATATATATATTTTTGCACAAACTGGAAAAAAAAAATTAGCAATGATGAAAGCTGAAAAATTGAAAAAACAAGAAGCCTAACTTGGCTCTAATACCATGACAGAGAAATCTCTTGTCAATATTCAACCAAAGAATGTACAGAAATATAAAGGAAAAAACTAAGGTATAAAAGGAAAACTCTCCTAAGACCTAATCCCCATAAATCAGGGATATTAATATTATAATTACAGGACATATACACCGCTGTAATACACATTTTTCCAATCTACTGAGCTGTCAAATCTTCACAGCCTATTCATACCATAATTACCGATTCTAACAAAACCAAAATTTGAATTAGAAGAGATATTCATGCATATCCTTGAATCAGAGAAAGAAAATAAAATTATCCAATTAATTGTGCAAGGACAAATCATAATATTAGTTTATCATAGAAGTAAGCAAAAGCTAAATGAAGTAATTAGCATTACTTTTTTATATATATGTAAAAAAATAAATAAATAAATGAAAAAATAAATAAAAAAGCAAACCTGTATGAGGTTAGGAGTTGTCGAAACTCCTCTTCTAGTTTTAGGATAGCCTTTGAAAGTAAGTTATTGGCATGGTTAAGCACCCCGATACTACTCTGAAAGCTTTTGTTACTACTAAAAAAACGCACAATGCTCCTCAGTTGATCAACTGCTTCTAAGTAGCTTTCTAAATCTTCATGTGGCCCTCTCAATATTTTAGCCTCTACCTGAAGTGAAGTTGCATTGAGTAAAGCATAAAGAATGAGATCACGCAAGTGAGAAAGTATATTTGAAATTCTATAGACATGATTATAGATGTTAAATAAACAAATGCTGAAGAAGATATAAAGCATCTACCTTCACTAATCCCACTGATAATATCTAACACTTGGAGAAGAAATCCATTTAAAAGAAAAACAATAATTCTTTCCAACTTAACACATTACTTTTTGCTGTTTTCTTTAACTTTAGGTTTTAAAATATGGCAACACCATCCTAGTAAATGTTTGTGGAGGTTGTTTGGCGTAGCTTTTTGTAGTTGCAAGTCCTTTATGAAGATGGACTTCTCAGAAAGAATTTTATGAGAACGACTTCAATAGTAGATGGATGTTTGGTGAATACCTGTTTGAAAGTCTTGCAAAATTAATAAATATCACTCGAACATTAATTTTTATTTCAATAGTATTTTCACTATTGTAGGTCCATTGTTTTGTCAATTTTGCAAACAATCACATTTGAGTTGTTTTTGTTGGACCTGAGATTTCTCTTGGACCGCCCGAGCGGTTCTTTGTGCGCTTGAGTGCTGAAATGATCCATCCAGTAGTACAAACTTGTTCTAAGATACTAGGAGGATTCATTCTCCGCTCGAGCGAACTTTCTACCACTCAAGCAAAGTCACATATTGTTCCACCGCCTCTTAGATACATTGCTCGAGCGATCTTCGCGACTCTATTTTGTTTTAAGCTACCTTAGTTGCAAATTTTAGGGTTACCTCTTCAAGATCTGAGATTTGAGACCTAAGAACTTCTGAGTATTCATTTGGAGAGCTTTGCATATATTTCCCTTGATGATTTTGTGAGCTTGTCACCTCAATATATCTTTCGAAAAGCGTTCTTCGGTGGATTCCGAAGGGTTTGAGCTTGGAAGCTTTGAAGGCATTCGAAGTAGCTCATCGTTATGGATTCAACATAGGTATTGTGGATTCAACACCAAACTAATCAATTCCAAGACGAAGATGTTGATGAAAGGGACACAAGGAGTGGAAGTCAATTCTTGAGTGTGTTGGGTAATTACTTGTACTCTTGTGTAATTTCATTATCTTCATAATGGATTGTTTAGTGGCTTTATGCCCGTGATTTTTTTTATTTTTATTTTTACCACAATTGGAGATGCTCCAATTGTAGTTTTTTCCACGTTAAAATATTTTGTATTGGTTCATCAATTGTGAAACAAGAAGCTAAATCACTTTCGTATTTGCTAGCTGATTTAGATTGTTTGTTTGTTCTGTTTTGGGATTTGTAGTAATTGAATCTATTTCGAATCACAAATCACATAACTTAGGGTTTTTTCAATCGGTATCAAAGCGAGTCACTCGTTCTTTGATTGTTCATTTTTTCAAAGCTATAAGAGTGTGATTTTATGTGATTTGTGACAATGGATTCAATTCGTGAGGGTAACTCGACTCATAGACCTCTGTTGCTTGATGAAACAAACTACTCATATTGGAAAGCTCATATGAGGGTGTTTTTAAAATCTATTGATGAGAAAGTTTGGCATTCCGTCATCTATGGATGGAATGTACATGTTGTGACCATTGACGATGTCATAATTTCTAAGCCAATTGATAAATGGGATACAAATTATTATCAAAGCGTGGGTTGGAATAGTAAAGCGCTCAATTCCCTCTTTCGCTCTATCACCCTGGAAGAGTTCTGGTGTATTTGCACTTGTGAAGTTGAAAAAGAAGCTTGAGACATTCTTGAAACAATTCACAAGGTTACTACTTCGGCCAAGAGATCAAAACTTCAACGTCTCACCTCCGCTTTTGAAATCCTTTTTATGCGTGAGAATGAAACGCTTGATGAAACAAGAGCGACAACACATCTCATTGTGAGAATGCTAGAGATGTGTGGGCTACTCTAATGCAATTCCATGAAAGAGTGGAATCATCTTCACAAGCATCTATTTCCTCTCACTTCAATGCTCTTATTGCACAATTGGAACTTCTCAAGGAAGAAGAGAAACAAAAGGAGGATGTGCCTTCACTTGAGAATGTTATTGATAATGAATCCTCTGAGAGTGGTGATGAAGTAGATGGTGAAGAGCTTCAACAAGCCTACGAAAAGTTGTACAAGGAATCTCTTAATTTGTCTATGTTGAATGACAAACTCACTATCAAACTTAAAGCATGTGAGAGTGAGAATGTCAAACTAAAGGAGGAGATTGTCAAGGCTAGGAATGATAGCATCAAGATCTCAAATTATTGACAAGCTCGTTGTGCAAAACTCTTGACTTGCAAGATTGAGAGGGATGAGCTACTGAAAATCTATGCAACATATGAAGAGAAGATTGAAAATTTAGAGATGTCTTAAGTTGCTTTGGATGAGCTAGTCATTAAGAAAGAGGAAGAACTCAAGAATGCTAGGGCTAAAATTGATCTTTGGAACAACGGGTCAAAGACATTGGAAGACATCATTGGATCTCAACAAATGGGCTTTGAATAGAGTGGAATGGTTTTGGAGATGACAAGCCGCAAAAATGGAACGCCTCTACATCGCATGACAGAAGGACCTAAGGAAATGAGAAGCAAAAGATGCAACATGATGATGAGTCTCTCCACCAACCTAAAGTCGGCATGTTCAATGAAAGAAAGGTAAAACCGGTTTTTATTTGTCATCATTGTGGTAGGTATGGCCACATACACCCCTATTATTTTGAGTTGCTTGGTAGGGTGTCTCAAAGAGTTAGGAGAAATTCAAATACCTCTTGGGTTAGGAGACAACCCTATATGTCTAGGCGAAGCATCATTGACCGAAATAGTGTTCACAACACTAAGACATCACCCAAGAATCATGATGATCCCTCTCTAGTTAAGACTAGAAGAGTGGGTGAGGATGAGTGACTTAACTTGGTTTCTCGTTCACACTGCTTATAAAGCACGTGACTCACGCATGTGGTATCTTGATAGTGGTTGTTCTCGTCACATGTCCAAGACAAATCCTACTTTACATCTCTGGAAAATATGAAGAAGGAATTGTCATATTTGGAGACGGTAGCACCTCTAGAGTCGTTGGTAAGGGCTCTATAAATGCCCCCAGTCTTCCTAAATTGGACAATATGTTGCTTGTTGATGGTCGTAAGGCTAATCTTTTGAGCATTAGTCAAATGTGTGACTCACATCATGAGGCATTGTTTTCAAAAGATAAATGTGAGATTGTGGACAAAAAGGGAAATACCGTCATGCATGGTGTTCGCACATCTGATAATTGCTATAGGATTGTTACTACTAGTGACCTCACTAGTCATTCGGCCATCATAAACAATCTAGACTTATGGCATCAACCAGCAGGTCACATCAACTTCAAAGACCTAGCCAAGATAGCCAATAAGGAGCTAGTGCGAGGAGTGCCCGAATTGGGTAAGTCTTTGAGCCATGTGTGTAGACCATGTCAATTAGGGAAGCAAACTCGAGCTTCTCATAAGAATATGAATAGCTTAACAACCAAGCATCCTCTTGAGTTTGTTCATATGGATCTTATGGGACCCACTCGTACTGAAAGTATTAGAGGTAAAAGATATATTTTCTTTACGGTTGATGATTTCACTCAATTCACATGAGTAAATTTTTTATGAGAAAAATCTGATACGTTCGATGCTTTTTAAGTCATTGGTCACAAGAATCTAGAATGAACAAGATGTTGCCATTGGACGTATCATAAGAATCCAAACTAATCATGGTCGTGAGTTTGAGAACAGTTCTTTCTTGAATTTTTGTGATATGTATGGGATCAAGCATGAATTTTTTGCTCCTATTACTCCACAGAAAAATGGGGTTGTTGAGAGAAAGAATCATGGGGTTTAAGAAATGGTTAGGGTCATGCTCCTTAGCAAGGTCCCTCTCAAGTTTTGGGCTGAAGCCTTGAATACTACGTTCTATGAAGCACGGACATAGACACAGACACCGACACGGGACATGGCAATTTCTAAAAAATGGGGACACGGACATGGCGGGGGGACACGACGAAATATTTTTTTTTATTATATATTTTTATGTGTCATGTAAATTCATATTACATTCATCCTAAATCAAAATTAACAAACACTAACATAGTAACATTAATTCAATAAATATAAACACTACATTTAAACAAATTAATAGATTATCTATTCACAAAAAAGTCATAATAAACGATAACAAGAACCAAGACGAGAAAGGGAAAACATTCAACATCCAACAATATTCAACACAAAAGCACTAAATAAGAGAGGCAAAAGAAGAAGAAAAAAAAAGTGATCCCTGTCGTGTCCCATGCCGTGTCCAATGCCATGTCCCAATATGGACACACGTGTCCCCGCCGTGTTCCCGTTGTGTCCCCTACAAAAAAAATCATTAAATTAAAGGGACACGCCATCTGGGATGTCCCGTATGTGTCCCCGGCATGTCCCCGTGTCGAATACCGCCACAGCACCGATTTTGGAGTGTCCATGCTTCATAGACTACGGTTTACATTGTGAATTGTGTGTATTTGAAGCCTGGCACATTACAAACCCTTTATGATTTATGAAAGGGTTGAAACGTAATGTAAAATACTTCAAAACCTTTGGGAATGAGTGTTGCATTTTTAAAGATCAAGAGCCTTTGTATAAGTTTGACTCCTAGAGTGATGAAAGTATTTTTCTAGGGTATTCAACCACTAGTTGAGCCTTTCATGTTTATAATCTTTGTACTTTATCTCTCATGCAATCTATAAATGTGGTTGTAGATGACACAGGTTCTCCTATAGGATCAATTCATGAGCAGGAAGAAGTTGATCCTCCAACATCCAATGTGGCCTCACCAAGCTAAGGAGAAGCTCAAAGGCAAGTTTTAGGAGGTGAAGAAGCACCATCACCCATGGCAAGCTCAAACTCAAGTAGTGCACAAGGCAATGCGTCCATGACCACCTCATCTTCTTCTCCGCTCATCTTGGAGCCACTGGCTAGGGGAAAGCTTAATCACCCTATTCAA